AAGATTGCTCGTGAGACAGTGATCTTCGATGATTGTGATGAGCTCGGCAGCATTAGGATCCGCTCGCTGGACCCGGTCACCTCCCCACAGCTCGTGGTGTAGATTGAAGTCGCCAATGATGATCTGTTCATGTTGGGATGATTGTTCCAGTGCTTTGCCGAGAAGGGGTAGCGTGCTCCCTCTTTCGGTTGCGGTTTGTGTCGGGTTGTAGACATTGTGAACCATAATCCGTTGCTCTTCTTCTGTTCCAAGTCTTAGGTTTAGTGAGCCGAGATCTCTGTTTGCCTCTTCAAAGTGCCACCTGGAGTGATCGAGTCTCTTGTTGATGAAAAAGCAGACCCTGGCTGGAAGGGTTTGGTCTTTGTCTGGGTAGCATAGGTGAAATTGATCCTTGGCTGGGTGGTGAGTTATCGTGTCGAATGGGTTCTTCCAAGGCTCCTAGATAGCGAGGATGTCGTATCATCCTATGTCGGGATCTCGTAAGAGCGTGGCCATGACTATGTCTTTGGATTTTCTGACGTTATACTGTAGTATTGTAAGAGTATTTTGTGTTAACATTCTTGGTCGTCGATTTCCATCTGTTAACCATGCTGTGTGGTTTGTCTGTTGACATCCAGTGCTTCCAAGACCCTCCTAGAAGCGGCTGCCATTCGTCTTGGCCGCTGGCTCCCCATGTTTACGACGATCTCGTTATCGGGATTATCTGACGCCACCTGGTCACTGCCAGGGTTCGCTCTTTTCTGTAGCCTCTTGGTAGGCGACCTGCTCCGGGTCGAACTGGCATCCTGGGGTCGGCCTGATTCCAAAATAGGTCATCCTGTCCTGGTGATTGTGTTGGTGTTATTTTGCCGCTCCCGCGTTCTGGTTCCGGTAGATATCCTGGTAACGAAGCTTTCTAGCTCTAGATGATATCTGGGCCGCAGTTTAGAGGCCGCTTTGGCCTTATTGACCTCCTGCTTCCTGACAGGGCATTGGTTATTCCAGGCTTCGTGTACACCGTTGCAGGCCGCACATTTCCGTGGTGCATCCCTATCGCTCTTGGTTAGGCAATCCCGGGTAGGATGCTCTTGCGCGCAGTAGCCGCATGTTATTATTGCCTTGCACTGGGTTCCTATGTGGCCATATTTGTGACACTGGAAGCATTGTCTCACGCGGCACTGTCTGTCATAGAGTTCGCATTGGAACACCTCGCCTTGCCAAATGAGGCCCTCATCAATAACTTTATTCGCATCTTCCGGTCGTGTGAACTCGACCACGACCGAAGATGCTGATTTAGAGGACGAAGATCTCGTCAGCCAGCCTATGTACTTGATCTCCGCAGTTGGTATGAAAGGCTTATTATCCTGCAATAACCCATCTCTAATAAGTTCGAAGTTATCCATATCCATCGAACTAGTGCATACACCATATACCAAGACACCATACGTCGGAATGCGTACAGTGGCACCGTTTCCGATCCTTTGTTCCCAGTCTTCTGCAAACTGTCTAAGCGCTACCATATCCGATGAAGTGGCCGTCTTGATGCTCAAGTCACCGCTCCTGAGCTGATTGGAGGATACTACCTTGATCTTCTCTATGTGTTTGTTGCTGCTTTATGCGATTGCGAGGTCTACATGTGACTTAAGGCTACGGGGACTCATCGCTCTGATGTTGGCTATAGTGACAGGGTCTCTGATGTTGATGATAATCTCGCGTACGGTCTGGACAGGTGATGCTTTCTGGTTCTGTGGGTTATGTATGCTTGTCGCCAGCCCTCCCCTCGCCATCACGTTGGCGTAGGTAGGCATGGCGTTGGCTTGGTTCTGCTGGCTTACAAGCTTCATGTCTCTAATCATTTTCATTATTGCTTTACCGATTTCCGTGGCTTCTTTCGCGGCCGTTTTTGCGTCCATCGCAATTTCTGAATTACGTTGAACTACTTCCATGGTTTGTTAAGCTTTGGTGTTTGTTTCGTTGAGCTCATTTTTGAGGCTGTTGACGTGATGCGCTAGGCTTTCAGCTGCGGCTTTTGTTTCGACTTGGCCGATTTTCACTGCTTCGTAGACGTGACCAAGATCGGGCGTGCTCTGCATTTTGACGATGAGGGTGAGAGCCCCAATGAGGGCAACTCGAACTCCTCGGGATGCAACGGGTAGACCATCGCCGTTGTCGATGGCTGACAGTGCCTTTTGGAGATATTTGCTCAAATTTGTGGCGTGCTCTCGGTAATCAGTGGGCCAGATTTCGTCCTGGGGCCACGGGGTCGCCATGATGCCTGAGTCGCACTGGGCAATGCGACCGACAATGGGCTATCCAATTCACCTTTCGGAGCGGTGTTGCGGCGCTGTAAATAGCTGTTGTTTTCAAAAATTTCGTTCTCGCTGTTGTTGAAGTTTTTCGGTACGAGAGGGGTGTCGCTAATTAAATATAACGCGAAACCGCAGCGAAGTCACATGATCATTACAGTGTTATAGGGGGCGGCGATCTAGTGCGCAGTCAGAAAGTGGGGTCGGTTAATTTTAACAATAAGGTAGCTGAAGCGAGTCAAGGGAAGGGGTGAAACTGGTAGGCTGACACGAACCGACGAAGGAAACGACTCTGTTACTTTACTAGATCCAGCCTACTTCGTCCAGAGCTATGATGATTTCCTGTGACTGTACAAACAACAGTTAAGGGCCGGCGATGGTGATTGCAACAAGAGCTGGCATGCTCCATTTCTCATTGAAGAATGGTCTCAAACTGGCGTTGTTCTGTTCTCACTGTCGCGCTGATTGAACTGCCAAATCGCATGTCATCAATTGAGCTTCATACGTAAATGAAGGACAAATCAGACCATACTTTATAAATAGTTCTCTCTTTGAAACGGACCACTCTTTAATCGATTTCTTATTCATATATTAAATAAGGAGAAGTGAGAAGGATGTGAAGAGATTTCCATTCAGGAAGCTTATTTACGCTCCTTCCACTGATAATGAAGCTCCCCGTTATCATACCCTAGGTACCAATTTCTACTTTCCACTGCCACAATGCATTGCCCTTCATCTCTCTCATTTGTGACCGGGGTTCGAAGTTCCTTAAAACCCTTGGCTTTCTTAAGATCACAGCGACTGGAATTCGCTAAATTTTGAACCTCTTCAGGTATAATCCACAGAAGTTGGTTCACTGGGATCCAAGAATAGAAATTTGAATCTTGAAGGTCCGATGATATCTTCAACTTCGTACATTTTCCCTTCTCTAAACCATTCTCTACTATTCTACTGGTAAGCGTATTCTAAAACAATGAGAAGTATAATCTTACCAAGGAATTGGAAGACAGGGTCTAGTACCACAGTACCTTCGACTCCGGGCAGAGCAGGTGGCATCGTTGGTCGATTGATTTATTGTTGTGAGAAAAAAAGGTGGTTTGATGATCTGTCTTTTCTTGACATGACATTTCAGGCTTTAAATACCTAATTGGAGGCCTCAAAAGCCTAGCAATCCGTGCAAGGTCGGCACAGATGCAGAGAATAACCCTGTGCCATGGCCTGTAGAGTTCACCGCTGGTCTAACATGAAAAAGGCTTGCACAAAGGACCGAGAGTTGTAACATGCCGAAGGGGTGTGTATATATTGTTATCTCAACTGCAAGTCAACAGCCTCATCAGTTTGGCATAGGTACAAATGCCCTGGCTTGTCATTTCATAAAGCCAACTGTCGATGCCAACCACTTCATTTCGAACCCAGGGGTGACATAGACAAGAAATTCTTCCCTGCTAGCCTCAGGGATACATATCCCCAGATATTTCTCCCACTGCTCCTGCGTCGGATGTTCGAATTTCTCTACAGTGTCTAAATAATATCAGATTGTAACTCAATTCAAATTTTAATATCTCTTACCTTTAGATATTTTTCCCTTATGGAAGATACGCATACATAGGAAACCCCCCCAGGCAAAGTCAACCGAAGGGTTAGGATCATCACCGCTGCAAAGTTGACACAGATGTAGCTTGCAGTATGTGCACTCCCAGATCATCCAGTGAGGGCCAGAGCGGCAGTGCTGGCAAATCCACTGAACCAAAGTATTATCTGACTTGATCATTCGGAACTGGTGAGCGCAAGCGTTGGCCATTTTGTCCTAGTGTCTGTGTAAGAAATAGTTTATATATATAAAATAATCTCGTGCTGTGGCTTACAAAAGTGTGGTATGTAATTCGTGGACTGTTGATTGTAATTAGATGTAATATGAAAGCTTCTCTTATTGAAGTCTTGTAAACTTTGACTATTCTCATATTAAGTAGCACCTGACATTAATGACATTTATTAATGTATTCCCTTTTTGAATGATGATGTTCAAACTGACTGTAAGAAGTGCAATTTGATATGATCGGCCAATCGGGACGCAAGATTACGAGGAAGGGGCGTGCAAATGGGGGGCAGCGTGGAATTGAGAACGCACGGACCTTGCAAGAGCTTGAGGAAATGAGGGAAATGAGGGAAATGAGGGAAATGAGGGAAATGAGGAAAATGAGGAAAATGAGGAGATATGGCGTTACAGCGTTACGGCACCAGGATCGGGGGTCAGTAGCAGGGAATATCAGCACTAAGGAAGCTTGTAGGCGAGTATGCAAACAAAGCCGATAGTTGGCATAAGCCCATGCATGCCGACCCTGCACCATCGATCCCACATGCCTTTAATTACCTAAAGCCGTATCTAAACTACGAGCGGTACACCGACACAGATCGAGAGGGTGTATTTTCTGTCTTGAGAAACGCACACGAGAAACCAGTGGAAAGGATTGAAATTTTAAGGGCTTTGGTGGTTAAGGAGTAGTATATATTATGAAATTGGTCGAAAGACCTTAATTGCAGAAAGAAAATGAACCCCAAGCTGAGAACCGCCCCCGAGAACTGTTCTCTTGTCCCTTTGCCCATCATGGCTCGGCTTGTTCGACTTGGACATCACGATAGTGGCCTTCCATATTGTGGTCTGCTTCTGTGTCGAACTTGGCGCGTGGAGGAGCTTGGTGTGACTCTGGTGCGTATTCAGCAAGACGATAATGCCTGCGGGCAATTGCTGTCCCGATCTCAAGCATGTGCTGGCCAGCAAAAGATGGAAAGGCGTACCATCCAACAGCGCCAAGCCTGATACCAGCATTGATGCTGAAATCGATTGCCGAGACTTTATGCCAGTCCACATGTAGGTCAGCATCCAGCTGTTCAAAGGATGCTAGGATGGCAGCCAGGCTGTTTTGTCCCTGTGGCGCTGGGGAGTCTTTTCCAATGACCTTGAACTGGTAATGGTACTTAAGAGCCATAAAGTAGACCCCATCGACGTAGCTCTCAAGACTCTTAATGTCGTCTTCCAGATGTATAAGTGGCATCTTGAAATAATTGCGAAGGATATGGATTTGCCTGAGGACAAATGAAAGAGGGGGTGTTTCGTCGCTCTTTTCACCATGTATCGGCTCGTGACCTCTAGGGAAAGTGCCCGTCGGAGGGAAGACACTGAAAGAATAACGCCTCTAAGGCCTTGGTCGTCCGGTCTCAACGTCTGGAGGTAGTTGACCATCTTGGCAATTGGTCTAAAATGAGTGACAGAAGTTTCGGGAGATCACTGAAACTGGTTTGTCGAGGGGGGGTCAGCTATTTGTGACAGACTCAAAACCTACTCAGCCAGTTATAAGGAAGTAGCAAGGGCCCTGTCCGATCACAAGAAAATGAGACTGCTGACTTGCAGGTGGAACAAGACTTGCACACCCTTACCAAGACCATACGCCACCAACCTCACCTCGGCAGACTTCCCCGTCAAGACCAGAGGTTTCTACCCAGGAACTCTCGTAGGGGTACTAGTTCCGTGCCCCCACCTTCCCTTGCCTCCTGCGCCCTTAGCTTAGGCACATTTTGAGAAGTATAAAGAGACGAGTTAAGTCAACCCTACATCTGCAAACCAATCTCAGCACACACTTTAAACTTCCTCCTTCTTCCACTCTCAATTTAAGGAACTACCACTATGTCTTCACTGATTGAAAACACGGGGGGCTACGGAGGCTTTTATGCTTCGCTATCAAGTATGGAACGATTGCTGTATCCAACAAGCACCGTCTCATCTTTTCTCGAAGAAAGTAGTCGAATGCCCCCAGCCTTGTTTATCCTGCACAAAATCTACAAATGTCGCAAAACCCTTGGAATGCCCCATCAACATCTTGAAGACGACGTTGAGATACTCCGTCAGTACATGATCGAGATCTTTGTAGCCTACTGCCACAAACACCGCGCAATTGGCCAGGTCGGCCATTTGGTCCGAATCTGAAGACACCCTACCTGCTATCCTAGCAAACCTGGTTGATACATCCTCTGATCTCGGACCTATTGACTTTTGGAAGGTCACGACAATCCAGTATGAATCTATTCTTGGGTTCTTGGTCGGTGGCAACCGTTGGTTTATCCCTCCATCTATGGCTCATACTGTGAGACAGAAGCTTCAACTCGGGACTGGATATGTTCGCGAACGTTATCAACCCAATACTTCGGCCCAGCCAGAGCTATGGCTAACCCCTGGCCCTGGCCTGGTCAAGCCTCAGGCTCTACCAATGCGACCTCTGTCCACTAGACTGCCTGGCCAGGTCAATTTGGTGCAGAATACTCAGGCTTCACCAATGCAATCTCAGCCTCAGCAGCTCCTAAAGCCAAATATCCAGGCTCCACCAATGCAACGTCAGTCTTATGCTGGTGTTTCTGACTGGATGAAGAACAACAGTCCGAACCAGTCCCCTGACCGTCAGTTCTCCCCGGAAATGATTTACCCCCCCACCTCTTCCTCCTCTGATTCGTGATGGTTTGGAACTGGTACTCTGTCTTTCCTTTCTTCGGTTTCTCACCAATGACTTTCTTTAAGTATTATTATATTTATTTTTTAACTTAATTAACTCTCACACTCGTTAATAAATCTCTTATACTATATAACTCTCTTCAACTCTCTGTGAACCTCCCTGAATTATCTTGTTTTCTTGATTCCTTCTCCTAGCATTCCTCTTCTTTCAGAGTGGCCCAACGATGGGAATATTCGTCTCCTTTTCTTCCTGGCGTATAAGCACTCGTAAAACTATGGTTGCCATGTTGCTAGTGATGCTCGGTGCCATATCTGGCCAGTCTCTGTCATGTTCAGGATCCTTTGGTTCTATTAAGACCGGCTTTTGAGCGGTTTTCCAACTCTGTGTCTCAGCCAGGTTCAAATCCCAAAGGAGAACGCCACCGTCAACGTTCTTGGGTTTTGGGTTTATCACAACTTTGTAACGAGTGCCATCGGATAGGATATTGTATCCTTCACCAATGCCTCTATTCGCCATCCATAGTGTAATTGTGGCAAGTCCCCCAGCAATGCCAATTACAGGGATCCGCTCTTGTGGCCTTAGCTTGTTGCCGATCTCTCTAATCACCTTCAGACGGCAGGAGGACCTGCACAAGAACGACGCTAGGTAGGACAGTTCCTCCTTCTTGAGATGTGCTTCATCGAATTGGGAGTTTGAGGCACTTGTGCAATGACGGAGGGGGTACTCATCCGCCTCTGAGGTCTTTCGTAGTTTTGTATAATAATAGAAGCCAAGATAAAGAAAGAGGCCAATGAGGATGAGAATTATTGGAAGGCATACCGCCAAAACAATTGTACCATCTTTTGATAGCGACATCTCAATTTGGTCTAGGCCTTGGGGGAGGCTTCGGGGCACCAGTTGTATCGTATGCGCCGCGGCCCTTGTTGTCCAAGGAACTAGGAGAGGATTGCAGGAAAAAGATTGATTGAAAGACAGGCTTGAATTATTTGGCGAACCAGTGTCGGTGAGGCCTACAAGCAGTCGCCTTGCCGGGTTGCACACTTCTTTAAGTAGTTGATGTTATCGATTAAGGTGATAGATCACAAGTATTTAAAGCACTAGTTCTAATTTCGGTTTATGCACACACCCTGCCTCTAGTCTGCAATATTCAGCGGTCCCATGTCAAGCTAGTCCTACCTAGGAATCTTTTGAGCAAGTGATCGAAAGTTGGTTAGCTAGTCTCACTTCCCCACCTCATTCCCTCATTTTCCTCATTTTCCTCATTTTCCTCATTTTCCTCATTTTCCTCATTTTCCTCATTTTCCTCATTTTCCTCAAGCAGCCCATTATGCGACCTGAGATAGCGGTAATGGCCAGGAATGCATGAACATGTTGGAAGGCCAGTAAAGACAAGAATTGTCTAGTATAAAAGAGGTACAGTTGTTACAACAAAAATTGTCTTTAACATTCAATCAACATGGCAGACACTCCGAACGAAAAAGACCAGTCGCAGAAAGGAGGAGCGAAAGATCAGTCGCAGAAAGGAGGAAACATTCAATATGAAAGTGATTCATCCGGTAAGTTTTAAATCAACTATTTTATTTGCTAAATTCTCACAATCTAAGGAGCTGGCAAGAGCAAAGGCAACGATCCCGTGACAGAGGAACAAGGAGCCAGTGTGATAGTTGTCAGTGCAGACAAAACAGGGTATAAATACGATCATCCTACCCCAAAGTAGGAATAGAAAATGAAATATAATGGAGGGTTCTTGATGGCGAGTGTGTTATGCCTGACCCAAGAAGCAAGCCTGATTTAGTGTCCCATGTGACGTCTCTGTGGAAGCCTTCACTGCTCAGTGACATTACCGCCGGCTCATTAGACGGAATAAGAGGCACAATAACCTTCAGCCAATTAGGGCGGACGGTAATGGGACCAGTATCATGACGGACTGAGATCCTGCTTAAGTGTATATCTATGGAGCTGATGAAACCCAATTCGATCTTATAAGTCAGCTTGGTCCTGAACTACTATAGGCTTACGTACCAGCAATCCCAGAACCGGGCTGTTCACAGCGTCGTGGTATGAAGTCCAATCAAACCTGAAGATTCTCACACCAGGGATATCCAGGGGTACGCAACCATCCTGCTCCTCAGCTGCTTCGGATGCCTTTTGCTGAATTGTCTCTGAAAGATTAAAGCATTTGTAATCTGCCATTGAGTCGGGAATAGCAAACATTGCTTCGGTATTGATGTGTTTATATATATCCATGTCGCCTTTCGCCCATCTGTCACGAATTGGGTCGTAGCGATTCTTTGTGGGAGCTGGAAGTATGTGGGGTACTGGCTTTTGGTTTTCGATCACCGAGACAAACCTGAGGAACTCTGTCCTCGGGAGGGTGTAGGTACCAAGAGCTTTGCAAACCTCCTCGTACCTGTTTTATGGTTAATTGAGCGGCACAAGCGTAGGAAGAGAAATACCTACGAATAGTTTGAGAGCTTATATGCGACAAGAAAAGGAATATAAAGTGCCTGTGAAGCATGCTCTTCGGGGAGAATTTTAATGCTTTGAAAGTGTGACTTGAACTGGTCTGGCTCTTGTTTATAAGCCGCCAGAGATGCCAGGTTTAGAGGTGCTTCTCCTTGTCAGTGCTAGAAGAGAAGTCAATATAATAACTTACCGTATAGTAGCACAGCCTCAAAGGCCCGGTGCCGTAATTGTGGGTACACTTGATCGATCAAAGCGATCACACCTCGTACAAGACAAGCGTAGTTCCGAATACTTATAACCGAGCATGTAGCAGACACGCGCGCCTCATAATTGCGATGAGCCACAACTTCATCTTTACCACTTTCTACGCAAAAGATTGCAACATTGATAAACCTCCGTATACCATCAGGCAAAGCTTCATCCAAGAGAATAAGGTTTGAAATCCATATGTTAATGTCCTCCACGGTGACGAACCTACGTCGTCTTCTGGCACTTTGCCACTCGTCCTCAGTTTTAGGTATAGAATCCTTCAATTGTTGCTGAATTTGTGCCGGTGGCTTCCGTCGCTTAACTGGCCTTGAGGGATTGAGCTGAAATTGGGAGAAAGACCCCTGTTGAGAACTGATTGATTGTCTTTCATTCATAGTTGAAACTAAAGAGTGTAGCAGAGGTTATATAGGAGAGAAATATTTATTTAAAGGTTGCAAACTAACTAAGCAGATAATAAAGTAAGATAACAATAAAGCGATAAGGTGATAATGATAAGAGGATACAAGGATATGGCAATAAGGCAATAAGGCCATAAGGCAATAAGGCAATAATGTGATAACGATAAGCTAATTAACTGATAAGATTATGCTTAGGTGTATTTTGTCTACGTATCACGTGGTTATCAGGCTGTCCCCTCTTCCTGCTGTTGGGCAGTCCCGCTATTCTTTAACCTTCAAGTAACAATGTCATCAAATATCGCTCACGTCACAGAAGAAATATCAGCGGTGGGATTTTCAGTGCACCAAGACGCGCATTTCGGTGCCTTAGTGGACAGTGTTATTAACAAAAAATTTAATTTCTATTCAGAGGAGGGATTCAGCCTTTTTAGGGCTGTACTGCGAAATGATGTGAGTAAGGGCAATAATCCTTGTGGCATCGCGCATCTGACCTACGCTAGCTAGTCTCCAATGTTATCCCCGACGTTATCAAAGCAGTCCTGCCAGAACCGGTCTTTATATTCTGTCGTGTATTCGGCCGAACCCGACAGAAACACTCCATCGTGAACCGAAAAGACGAGAAAAGTATGCGAATTTTGACCGTTTGGTGCTGGTCAAGCGAATCCAAGGCCACTCTCTACTCAGGCTCACATCTTCACCATTTGAATGCAAAGGATTCAGATAACAGCTTGTTGGAAGTGTCTGATAAGGCTCTACAGCAGGATGACATACAGCAGCGTCCCTACCATATCGATTTGGGCGGTTTGTATGTTTGTATTTACCACGAATCTGGGCGTTTACTGACAGGTTCAGTGCTATAGTGGATGGCCGATGTGCTTGGCAGATGATGAACGGTAAGGGTGTATTGTTCGGGTTTGCGATCCCTGATGAAGCAAGACACTGGTTTCCAATGGCTTTCCCGTCTACACTGCAGAGCACCATAACAAATATAATGGCTGGAACGGATATTGCAATTAGAGCAGATTATCGTCGGGTTGCCCAGCCCCAAAAACATATCACCACGACTACCACTACGAACGAAAAGGAGCAAGTCAAAACAACGTCTGCAGGCAACAGCGATCAGGCCCACGATATGGCCAGCGACCAGCGCCCCTCCGAATCGAATCTAGACAGCCACGAGGGACGTATAGATGATATATCGCACAAATAAACTCAAGGACACTCTCTCTCTATATGTAATAGTATCTCGTCGGTGGTCATATGGAACAGCCAGTCTTCAATTGTATAAGAATTGCTCATTGGGGCTCGATCGGGAGCATCTTGATTTTGATGTGGAATGTGCGAATCTCGGGGGATGCTGTGGGCCGGGGAGTTTGAAGTATCTTGGTTCCGTTCTTCTGTGTTGACGTTGACCGTAACATTATCGAGCTTTGGAGCCTTGCGAGGCCGTGCTGTCGCTTTTGTCGCTCGTTTTTGCTTCTTTCTGGGTTTGGATTTGTGCAGATCGATTCGGGCCAGACCAAGAGCGTTGTGCCAATCTTTCGAAGCCTTGGCGAGACCGTTATGGTTACTGGGTTTCAGACAACGTTCTATATGATGCTGTCGATCATACTGCCACACAATATTATCTTCACAGCCCTCGCACTTCTCCTTACACGGTAGATCTGGGCTATGAGTTAAATCACGCGGAGGTGGGGTCGATGAGGAAACTGACGCTTGGTGTAGTGTCGTTCGAGGTTGTCTGGTCGCGTATACCGTTTCAAACTGCTTTCACAAGCTGAGTGCGGACAAGGCATTCCATTCAGCTTCGTCGGCTTCTTCGGATCTCGTTTCGATTGCTCATCCTGCTCATCGTCGGTCGATACCGAGCTTTCCTCGGTCGAGACCGAGTTTGGTAAAGTTTCCAAGGCCGCATAATTTTGAGGAACGGGTACTTGGAGCTGCTGCATGAGATGTAAGATAAGAGATTCTGTTCGCTGTATGTGGTTTCGAAAGTTCTGGTAGGAAGATTTAAACAGTTGTCGAGATTGCTCCAAATCATTGTGGAGTAATTGTATTTGATTCTTGAACAGTGTTAGAATATCCGAAGCTGACTTAGACTCGCCCACTTACAATGATCTCATCTGTGTCGGGTGAGAAACTCATTTCTTTGTGGCTCATTTTGATTGGGGAAAAATAAGTTCAAGTTTGAAACGGCGAAGCCATGAGAAGTGGCAAACAGGTAAACCTGTTGTCACGTGTCACCGACCCCTCAGCGGCCGGATCTATATAAGGAGCGCGTGATTCTTCCAGTTTCCCGTTGCCGCGACCCCTACTACTTATTTCATCATCCTTATTTCACCATCCTTATTTCACCATCCTTATTTCACCACCCTTATTTCACCACCCTCATCTCCTTCTATCAATTTATTTATCATGCCGGATTCAGCCTGTACACTCTGCGACGGCACAGGCAAGAAAGCAGGCACTACATTTACCTGCGGTGCTTGTGACGGCACTGGGAAGGAGCAACCATGATCGTCTGGACCAGTATTGGAAATGCATTTATACTACGGATATTCCTAGGTACTAGACTTAACTATCTCACTCTATTGCATACTATTAACAGCAAAGAGTCTAGGATAAAGCAATTTTAAGGGATCTTTGCATAGGAAGGCGTAAGAAAGGAATATTACCTTGTTTGTTTATGCAGATGTGACGGCGGGATTTTCCGAGCTATACCTACATTAGGCTAGTACGTCGGCAACTCATTGTCAGATTAACTCTCCCATCATGTTGGCTGCTTCTTCACTTAATAATTCATTCCTCATTTCCTGATGTCATCAGGCGCGCTGGGTGTGCCTCCGAGGCATCCCGCTTCCGTGATTCATACCAGGGGGTAATAAGTGCTGGTAGACCTCTGTTCTATTTGCTTACGTATCGGGCACCGGCGATATCTGTTGATATTTTTACAGTCAGGAGCCCAAAACAGTCGCGTAAGAAAACCCCCTCGGCCATGCAAGGCTTGGAAGTTCGGATATCGGTTCCGACCTCCGACTCAATTCCAGGCAAGGGAAAGAAATTTTGCCAATATTTTCAGACATTCCTCCAGAGCATCGGCTTTTATCATTAATCTGGGCTGGATCTTCGCGGGCTAGATAAATGAAACCTTGCCTCTGGTAACATCCTCTGATCAATATTTCCCTCCATTCTTCATAATGTCCCAATATTGCTTTATGCCGCTCTCTGTTTGCAATCTCACAGTTTAATGGTATGCCTTTATTCCTCATCTAGGCGCTCTTTAGTTGCCGAAGGAGCGTCTTATCCTCTTTTATCTACCTGCAATATTGCCAGTCATGGTTAAGCCACAGCTCTACTTGATCACATCGAGCCTTTCCCCATTTGTGTTCTATGGCATATTGGACCATATTGTGGTTACACTGCATCATGTAATGCAGGTCAAGAAGTGGGCTGTCCCTGCGCACTTAGACATACACCTCCTCCAGTATACTTGCTTACATCCATAATATGCACCCATGGGTCATGAGACAAGGCAGCTACCTTGTATAGTAGATATTGCATTTATCCCCTCACTTAGTTAGGCAATCATTCTGAGGCCGTACATATCTGTATCAAGAGTTGAAAATAGGTATAAATACCCCGAGATGCATCGATGTTAAGCTATACTTCTCCCTTACTTGCCACAAGAATCATTCTTTAGAATCACCTGTAAGTTACATGTGTTCAACTATTTATCTTTCTGACATTTATCCCCCAGCAAAAGGAAACTACTTCTCCATTACGCAACATGTGTATCAAAGCAGCACCTGCCACAGTCTACCGGAAGTGCGGTCACCGATCTCAGGGCGTGGAATAAATATACCCTTGCGCGAGCGCTCCTAACGGTCCGACGTGCAATAACCCACCCTACAATCACTCAATTTCTGACAACAGAGTGAACAAATGGTGTGACGACTGTGTCGCGGCGGGCAAAGGAACGAACTAAGAGTGGAAAGCTGATGCGGGGTTTATGCAATGTATCAGGATATCATGTCAAGTAAATACCGAGTATTGCATAACTGAAGTGCCTCCTCTATTAATACGCTGTCACCCTTGTTCTGTCTTATCGCTTCTCTACGTGCACCACGAAGTATTATGTCTATCATATTGCCTTTCCTAAATGTCCCCGAGGAACTCCTTAGCACTGGGTCATCTCAAGGGATGACCTATGGCATTGACAAGGATATTGTTGTGAAAGTTCCATTCCAGTATGAAGTTTCCCCAGGCATACCCTTATCTCATTGCTGGGACCTTTCTATCAAAAGCTTCATTGCCATGGAAAAGGAGATGGCGGTCTATGATGCACTGCAAGTCCAACCTCACCGCAACTTTGTCAAAAGACTTGAACCTAGCAGCGTCAATTGTTTATTCCTCGAAAGACTCGATCTCTTGGAGAAAGTTTGGTGAGTTGCAAGGCCTATGGATCGAAACCGATGGGTTTTAGAGTTGCTTGATGCTGTTAGCTGGCTAGAAAATATCGGCTTTATCAATGGAGATCTTGCGGTACGAAATCTTGGTGTTGACAAGGCTGGCACATTGAAGGTCTTTGACTTTGGCTCAAGTTCATTCTCTGATACAGAGAATGATGTGATAGCGGATCACTTTGATTTGGCAACATGTCTGCATTTCATTCTTTCAGGCATAGATCCTTTTGCTGGTTTCCAGTCGCATTCAGAAGCTATCCGGACAAGACATGCATTAAAGGCTGGCCAATGGACTATTGCAGAAGGTGCTGAGGTTATTGGGGATATTATCCAGGACGGGTGGACTGGGAGGACTGGAGCCAAACATTTCAAAGGCATACTCAACGATGTTGCTAGGAGACTGGGCACTACGAAACTGTCTCCAGACTCCTTGTCTGAGAGCACAGATTATTACAGCCTTCAGCTGCGCTGTCAAGATTGGCTGCGTGACAATCCGAGGAACCCACTCTGGAAGAATCTCGATGAGTATCTTGTGGCGTGCAAAGATGCAGGACATGAGAGAGACTTAGATGACTTACGGTAACTAGCAAGTCAGGTCTGTTGATGTTATCACAACAACCTCAATCTAGATAATAGAATAGTGGATTTAGCGAGCAAGGAAGAGGAGCAGAGGCTATATCGCAACGAAGAAGGCCGATTTGAGGTTTATATGCTTTTGTTTGTTGAAATATGCTCCTGCTGGGGACGCTTTCCTGACTCTGGAACACGATGCCTCGTCCTTCCTTATGCTTTCTGGCCACGGCCAAGTCGCACGACGCGCCGACATGCCTCTGAAGAGCTCCGCTTCCGTGATCCGCTGAACGGCCTTAAATTCGGGCAGCTGTAGTTACAATCCGTGCCGACACGGGAAACGAGGGAGTATTGGATGGTCCAGCAGAAGCTACTCTCACACGTGGGAAGGTTATAGAGATGGATGCAAAAGGCAGCTGTGAGTAGCTGTTGGAAAATCCGGGAATCCCCCTTATCTTCAGGATTCAGACTGTTAGTCTGAAAGTCCTAGATTTAAAGTTCAAAGTCCTAGATGAAACTATCTAGAGATATAAACCCGAGAAGAGCTCTCATCTCAATAATGAATAACCAAGTCTCATAAAATACATTTTCACCCAGCACTACTGCGCAATATAAACAACAGTAGCAGGTGTATGTAGGGACGAGAGACCGGGCAAATTCGCAGACCCTTAGCTTTACTCTCATAAACGCTATCGACATGCCTGCCAATTTGACCTCTTCGTTCGTGCTCGTAGAGAATTCCCAACGCAGGTTGCTGTTCTCTGTACACCATCGACGGAGTACGATGTGGCGGGATCACACGAAAGACACTTTTCATGCGGGTACGACAATGCTGAAGAAGTAACCACGCTTGCCCAAAGGCACTATTAGTTGGGGTGAGGCCGACTGGTCGTGAGGAAAAGGGTCGTTTTGTTTTGAGACACGTGAGATACGAGTTCTGAGATTATCACGGAAGTTTTGGTTTAGAGTGGCTGATAAAGGTTAAGAAAGGTTGACCATTCTCGAGCAACATGATAATCCGAGTAACCTAGCCTAGAAAGAACCTTGAAGAGCACCTGATATCAGCGGTAATCGGTTGGTAAGAGTCATAGCCAATAATCATAGTAAAGTCCGTCTGTTGATGTCCTCATCTATGCTTCTTCTGTAACATAATATCCCAATACTGCTTTACGCCACTCTCTGTGCGATTTAAACTATTTGCAATCTGATAGTCTGATGGCGTGCCTCCGGTCCTCTTCTGGGTGCCTTTAAATGCCCGAAGGAGCTTCTCTTCCTTCTCAGTCCACCTGCGACGTTGAGTACTTCTTTGTTGGGAACCTTGGGGCTGTGAGATGGTGAGCTCGGTTTCGCTGTCACTATCATCAAAGCTAGAACCAGTGTTTGATCTATCGTCGCCGCTATCATCACCCACTCCATCCGCAGCCACATGTATGGTGTCAGACATAGACTGGACGCTGACGTCTGGTTTCAGGCTATGTGGTTGGTCCTGGTACAACTTGACTCCTATGATGGTGGTTGTCTTCTGGGCATCAAGTAGCGCTGAAATAGCCTTCTCAACTGACGCTGATGTGAGCTTTAGTCGTTTCGATAAGTGGCAAACATCTGAGCTAGAAAGACTTGCGCCGCCCTCTGAAAACGAACGTTTTATCGATGAGGATATGACCGAGCTGGGCTCTATCGTGATGCCAGGCTCTGTCGTGATGCTGGATTCTGTGGCGCCAGCCAGCATACTATTTGCTGCTGCTGCAACGGCGCGCAACTTCATATCATTCAAGCTGACTCATCTGTTGCCTGGGGTAGAGGATGAGGGCTCTTGAGACTCTAATACTGTATGGTTCTCTCCAGATAGCGTAGCGTAGGATATAGTATTAGATACATTGAAATCAGCTATCTGGAGGCTAGTATTTTGCATGCTGTCATTGTTGTTAACGAAGGCATCTTATAGTTGTCAGTGATATTCCTATAGTCCTTAATTTGGATATGTTTACCTTGATTTCTGCAAATTTGTTTTTGGTAATGTGGTGAGGTTGCTAAAGGTGTACTGATGCTTGAGGCCATTGATGGAGTGGTTTTTGTATCTGGTGACCAAGTGTGGTCGGCAGAACTGATCTCTGTATTGCTCTCTTCTTCAGAGGTGTTGATATTATAAGCTTCTCGCTCAATGTTCAGCTCGGAGGTTAAAGGCATTGTGGCAATTGCCGCTGGAAGCCTTTGTCTTGGCTCATCATCCTTATACCGATAACCATGGCAGCTGAGATCCCGGCTGGTGTGTTGGGGGTCGATAGTAGATTCTATAAGACGTTAGTAGTGGTCGTTAAGATCTAAGGTATAGGTTATCCTAACCAGCGCCAGTTACTGGATTTTCTGATGTAGGCAAACAGTAATCCAACCATTCCTCTGTAGTAGGAAAATCAAAATAAGGGTTTTCATCTCTATTTGTGATAGTCACTGCAATAAATTTCTCATCAATATGAGAACATCTATGGCCAGCAACTGAGGATAGTGGAGGGAGACTGCCAACACTTGTAGTGCTTGTCGGAGCAAGTGTGGAGCGTCTCTGCTTGGCTTGCTTAGGATGATAAGGCTTGAATTTGAGGCCCATCTTAAATGAATGAATTACGGTGGCCCTTATGTGAATGAATAAGGCACTCGATAATCACAAAGAAAAGAATTTGTGAGAGGTTGAAAGGTCAGGTTAGGAGGAGACCCTCCATTTATACCCCAAGACCCAGCCTCCTGCCCCGTCGCGCAGTGTCGTCCACTTTACGCATCGGAAGAGGAAGTGCTCTACCGTTTCTTTCACATGTCCACACAAACACTCATCAATAGGCGTGTCTTCCATGATCTGGTACATATATCTATTAATCATGATGGTTGTCGTTCGCTCAGAGTAAAATGCACCCACCCAACGCAGGAGATCGTCTGGGACCCCTGGTGCCTTCATCAGTTGTAACAACCTCACTTTGCACATGCCAATGTATGCTCCCTTGACAACGAAACTGGCCAGACTCACGACGTGGGGCGAGCGGCTGAGAAGATATGGTCTTGCACGAGTACGAGCGCTTGTTCTGCGCTGTTTTCGCGTGCCGAAATGGTTAGTCGGGAAAGGCCCGTGAGCCTCTATCGCATAAGACATTCTCTCAGCAGCCACCGACTCCAGCACTTTGCTCAGCGTAGGAAGAAGAAAGATCAGTCTCTAGGCTATCGCAATCGTGTAGTCGTCTTTTCCTGGTTTCTTGAGCGGGATGACTCGAGCATGTCTTCATTTTTTCGGTATCACGCCTTCCTCTAATGATGCTTGGAAGATATCGAGAACATTGTGTTTGACCGACAGCCAGATCTGTTTCCAGACGATCGCCGGTAGTCCGTCTTCTCCTGGCGCTTTTCAAAACTTGACGCCCTTGGCTGCTTTCCAGATGTTTTTATTATCTGCTAGGAACTCTTTCCAATGGTTCATCTTGCGATGTCGGATGGAATCGTGGTGCTGCTGTTGCAGACCTCTCGAGGTCTGAGGAAGTCTGACTGGCACGGCTCGCGGTCCACGCTCTGTTCCTCCAGTGTGTGTAAGCGTGCCACAGCTGTGTGAGATCATCGGTCCACCACCACTTTACATATGGGGACGGTTTGGCTCTCGGCTCTCAGGTCTGGACCGTTTCCGAGACCACCGACGTCAACCGATTCGTCTTCTGCTGCACCGTAACTCCCATCGGCCTATCCCTTGGCGTGTTCGCTATTCCGTTGTTGATCTCCTTCCAGGGTGCACTCTTGAACAGAATCCTTTCTTCCTGTTTTGACGCCGAAACTGAGATGTCAAGCACCGCCTCCAGGTATCCAGCGCACTTGTGTCGCTCCGTGTGATGCTGCTCACGCCTGGAAATCGACGAAGACTGCTTGCGAATGATCGGACGATGTGCCCCGTAGGCGTGCGGCGGCTGCCAGGTTGTCTAGATAGACTACAATGTGCCGTGCCGCTAATCATAGTAGGTTCAGAGCGGCCTTGAGGCCCTCCAGTGCTCCTGTAGCTTCAGCGTCAAAGACCTTTCAGCGTCAAAGACCTCGGCAGGTTCTAACGGCCCGACCCTTCGCAGATGGAGAGGTCCTTCTGGTGAATGGCGAAGCCACAGCTGGCTACTCCCTCCGAGGACAATGAGCCGTCTGAGTATACGATCCAGGTGGTTGGGTCTACCTTTTCAACCCACTGGAGGAAGGCCTCGGCCGATTGCTGTGTTAAGGTTAGGAGTTTAAAAGAGGCTTTAGCCCCAAGGGCACAAAGGTAAAGAACACCAATAAACACATACGGGCAAAATACTCGTTGCCCTCACTGTTGCCTAGGATCTTGCTTTTGGCTGAAAAGCTAGATATCCTGATGACTGACTCCAAAGGCGTATAAACAAGTGGCTGCTGCTCTTCCGTGAAGATGATCAGGCTCAAAGCACACAAAACACACACAAGGTAAGATGCCCGATGGAAGCAAGTCTGTCAACTCAAGATAACACTCTCAAGATGACTTCACTGCGACCGTACGACAGCTGATCGGTAAGCGGCCTGTGTCGCCTCCTCACTTCTCAACATATCCTACACCATGCGACATCGCGAACCTGCCTCCGCAGCCATGGCTACGGATCAGCGGCAAAGACAGCTACAAGAGACTCTGTAAGGATATCGGAGAAGGCAACGTCGAAGATATTGTCCTCGCGAACCTCGTCTACTTCGCATACGATGCCTATATGTGCAGCTGCAACCATCTACGACACCAGAAGAGTGATCCCCGGCGCGCACGAAAGTTGCTGCTAAACAACGACGAAGAGGCTCAAGAAAGCGAAGGAAAACCCGGCTTAGGCGCATGACGTCGTGGACTTGTGGGAGCAGATAAACCTCCAATATCCCTTATGATGAGTCAAGCGGTGAGTGATGACTGTGCTGGTCGAAGAGTTGTGAGAGGAAAAGTTAGACGGGCTGGTGGCGTTGGGCGGAAAAGCTTGTCTGTTGGAGATTCGGTCATAATCAGGACTAAGCTTTCAGTTAAATAAAGCTTCACTGAATGAGTCACAAGTGTTTTGAACACAAAGCTCAACGATGCACTTGCTAATCTCCTCAATTTTTAAGCTAGTTGCAAGTGGCAACAGCAGTGCGTAGAGTTGCAGTAGTTCTGAGACGTCTTCAACTGAACGTCAACGTTTCATAGCAACCATTACTTACAGGCATGGGTCGATAAAGCAACATCACGCCGTATCAGATGGGTCTTTGCTCGTGAGTTTACGCTGTTATAAATACCAAGCGCTCCAAGATGGAATCGTAACGGTTTATCAAGTCCACTTGAGAGTCTAATACCAATGATAGTAGAAGGATATCCGATGCCTGATACTGACATAACGGAGATCACCAGCACCAGAACCTTGAGCCTGTAGTCGAAACACATCAACACATCCGGCTCCTGAAATACCCCATCAAGACCGCAGGTATTCCAGCCGACACGGCTCTGGCTGCACTTGGCCAAGTCCTTGAGCAGTTCGAATCAATGCTTTTCATACCCGTTTCCATCGCAAACCTAGTGATGATGTTTGACCGGCCACAACACGTAAATCATCAGCAATACAACAACAATACCGACTTAGGTACGGACTGAGTTCGCTATGAGAGTCAAAGAAAGTCGACTCTCGTGGTTTTCTTTGGTCTCTCGGCCGTGCTTCCATATCTGATGTCGGCGATCATTCCACTGGCAGTCGTGGCCTCCTGTTTCACCAGTGACGAAGGAGAATGTTTCAAGTAAATTGGCGGAGACAAAGTCGGCAAGTTAGCTCACGAGACTGGGGGTCGGTGATCAGTATGAAGCATCCATCTGGCAATGCTCTGCGACATGGTGAGTCGACGTGAAGAAAGTACGGATTCACCGAGCAGAGCGCAGAGCTTTGGCACCAAATTGTAATACTTGGTCTCGAATGGGCCCAATCGTAGATCATTGTGCCTAATGAACTAATTAGACCACTCACTAGTCGGTTATTCAACTGGGTGACCGTGTAATGGTCAAACCATTTGACCTTCCTTACCCTCTTAAATGGCGATATTCTCGTGTCCCGAGACACGGCAATCGAACAGGCATATCAAGCTACGAGTCTTCTTTCTCCGATACAAATAATGGAAGCGATGATGTAGACGTGCCGGGTTTAGCATCAACAGCATTCTCGACTTTCTTTTCATTTAAATCGTATGGTCAGTTCGCCTGGTTCGATTCCACGTAGCAAAGACCAAAGTGATAAAAGGATAGAATGGTCAGAAACCATTACAGAGGCACCGCGAAAAGAGTTGAAGTCTTGCTGCCACTGACCATGGGATTTCTGAGATCTCACTACGGAGTAAATAAATGGAATTTGTTGAGTGGGGGAAGGGGCTCCTGAAGCCCCGCATGCTGACAAATAATTTTTGAACAGGGTGCCCTCTACAAGCCTCATTTCAATTAGATCAAGCTTCGTAACACAAACATACATTTCTATTGTCAACATCCGCTCTTCACAACCGCATCTTGTCACAACAACAATCTCATGCATCACGGACGAATCGCCGTAAACGAGCTGTTCAAGAGAGCCCGTGCGAGAAGCTCAGTAGAATGCGAAGGAGGCGCGTCATTGGCCGACAGGGAACCGCAACGCGCCGAAGCGCCAGGAACAAACCCGACTGACGACAGTTGACGAATACATTGTGGCTTGTCACGCCTCTGTTTTGTCTCGCCTTTCCACCGAAACAGATCCAAAGCTACCTTCCAGGGGCTCAGATCCGTGTGATAAGTGGTGTCCTGAAAAGCTGACGCCATGGCCCGACTTTCGTGACTAACAGATGGCCACTTTCAGTAAGCTCTACGAATCGTTTCCTCCCAAACACCCCGCTTTTGAGAATCGAAATCTCCTGGTCGGCTTTCGGAACAAAATGTGCTCAACGGCCGATAGATAGCATACGAGAACACGCTCAAATGACCCCCTCCGATGCCCTCAGCTACGTCGCCGAGGAAATATTGACAGGGAGACCCCATCGACACCACGGCGGACGCCTGATCATCGACGAGATCGAGCCTGCTACCGAAACGGCCAATACAAACAAGCTACAGATAAATATGCGCGGCGTCGGTCAAGGTTTGGCGCTCATCCCCGTGGCTCTTGGTCCGCCCGCAGAACGACGGGGGGGTGAACAGAGGACTTTGAATCGACATTGTGTTCTACCCTAGAAAACGAACGATGGGCATCATCGGACTACTCGCCTGTCGCGAAACTACGCACGCACCATCTACAGGAATGTCGATCGGTCGCTGGCCTTGCCTCGTAGAAGGATACGCCAAATTGCCACGAGCCAGATTGACAAGCGGCCGCTGAGGAGGACGATGAGTTGGCGCCTGGTCCACCAGACACATACACGCCAATTCGATGGAACGGCGCGAAGGGCTAGGGTTAAGGCGCGTCAAGGTCCGAAGACCAAGGCGCAATGTCGGTTGGTGGTATTGTAGGCAGAAATATGTTCTCGGGCTGGTCAAGGGTAGTCTTCTCGATTCAGAACGCCTGACCGTGACGTCTCACGCGAAGAGCTGTGCTCTCGCCCGCGCACGTCATCCTGTCATTGACGAGAAGTGGCTTCGACCTTCTGGATGCAGTTATAGCCGAACTTGGTCGTTTGTGCGTTCGGGCTGCTGGTCAACATGGCCGGGCCTACGCTCTCAATTGCCGTACCAATGTTTGGTTTAATCTGCCCCTTTCCATCATGCCCTTTCAAGCAAGCGAAACCGACAGAAAAGATCTTGAAAAGACGGCGCGATTCCGACATTACGTTTTAGTGGTTCGAGATTCTATTGCCGAAGCCAGCGCACAATTACCCCAGCAGGCTGCTACAAGCCTCAAGCCAGTACTCAATCTGGATTGCGATGATCATGCACCATTTTCCGTCTGGTGGGTTGCAGTGACCTGCCTGTAATTGAACTCAGATTGTGTCTTCCTGTTCACCATGGCTCGAGCTATATCGAGAACATATGTGACCTGATCAGACTGTATCGATAACATCTGGCCAGCGACTGAATCAACTGCGTGTTTACGAATAGGCATTGCTATTGCTTCATATATAATACAAGAACCGTGTGCCTTTCAAGCATCAATAGAAATGAACAGGCCACCTGATTGGTACCGGCCTCTGGATCCCCAACACACATCTAGCATACAGGCTGAGAAATCCTCAAAATAATTCAGCCTAGCGATGGAGCATAGCATTCCCAGTACGTGATGTTTATGGTTACTCCTAATGTGTAAATTCGTACTTCTTACTTTTCGTCCCCTGCTTCAGAACCTTGCGTCCAAAAGATTGGACGCGGGTCGTGCGGGGTAATGGGAGCAACATGACGTAGCCCAAAAAGTCTGCTTTTGCCCGCGATCCATTGAGAGGAAAATACAACACCTGCATTTGGTGATCGGGCTGTCGGGGTAACGAGGTACGCCCTAGTCATCAGACAAGTGGTTGATTTCTCAGCCCTCACAGGAACGGATGGATAGACTATCTACTGATTTCATCCCACGGTCATTTGAACCTCTCCGCTTGATCTGTTTGGTAGACGCGCCGCATTAGACGCGCCCCGCACCGACACGCAATGCGTAGCTCATTGGGTGCGGGATGTGATGCAACGAACTACACATACGAAATGGCGCTCCTGGTGACTACTGGTACATTAATTGAACGAGTTCCTCTTCCCATAGGGACACGGGTTGGCATATGAAGTCTCTGTAACACGCAGTATATGTCGGTTTGGTCTTTCTGTCACTTTTCCCCCGCAGCCGGGATCTGACAATACCTGTGGGCTAACGAAAAACATTGAAGAAGCTCTCTGGAGTGATTGGACTAGAGGCACTATATCCCCCCCTGAAGGTCATCATAGAGACTTACTAGACATAGTCTAATCTTGACTAACAGAGACATTAGCCATGATAGAAAACTCCAAAGCTCCCTTGTACACACATACGCAATTCTATTATGCCTGGTCGGCCATTGCCCAGAGAGCTCTATAGTACATGAAGGGATGTGCTGGAGCTCAGGAATTGGGACCTGGGCCTGAAGAAGTCTCTGAGTGGAGTCGTCAAATTTATCGAGCTAACAGATGAGCACGTATGCTTGTAGTCAACACCATTCATAATATTCTCTAAGTCCATGACCGCGATTCTGTCCGTCTTCTAGTCCGTACCGGCATCGAAGTGCTTCAAATCGAAGTTGATGACGCCTTGGATCTCGATCACCTTCTCGATGGAGTCCAGAGCGACAGTCTAGTCTGCCCGGGCCATCTCGCGCTTGCCCACGACCAGCACGTAGTCACGTCTATGCTTGAGCTTGTGTCCTGTTCTAGCTTATCAACAAGCACCTATCTTATGTTCAAAAGATTTTGTTGATCATGTGGTCGACCTTCATGGTGTTGATCTTGATTTTGATACTGCCGTTCATGCCCCGGACTGGCGCATGGCCGTGGCTGTGTCGGAATTCGGGTCATGATCAGGTCCTAGATTTTGATCGGATTCGCAATTCTATCCCAATCCGTCAACACGTTCTAGTTGCTAATTATTTACTACTTCTTGGACACGATTATCTCGTCGTCAGCAACCAGTCTAATAAAATCCGTCCCGTCTCACGTTTCACGACTCGAAATTCGTCATTTTACCTATTAAAAGATTGACAGGATCTTCAACATTCTAAATTTAGGCCTGGTGACACATATACAGAGTATGGTGCCTGTCTATCAACACGAAATGTAAGGAAAAATGCCAAGACACAGTAGGAGGTGAGGATATCGATGCGCTGACATGCGGAACACGACCAGGCCAATAACCCAGTTAAGACTGGTCTGATGAAGCCGAATGTATGCTTTTTGAACACAGAGACGCATGCGCCGTTGGGATATGCTTCTTGTATGATGGCCAGAAGACATCATAACTCCAAGGTCTCCAAACACCAGCAATAGCTTTGAAGGTCGACAGCAACGTGGCTGTTGAACCTAAAGACCGACGATAGCACCAAAGTACCTGCGAGATTCATCAGTAGTTATCAAAGATGCAAGCCGACAAGGAATTCTTACCGTCTTGCAGTCGACATGATCAAACCCTGACGAGACGAAGAACCACAGGTCTATGTCTGCCTCTTTCGCTTTCAACCCAGCTAGGCAGTTTTCTTCCTCAATCTGCCTTTCCTCGACTTTGCATCATTTATCATTTGAACCCTGTGTCCCATTCTCTTCCTGACTCCAGGACACTCGCAGGCCATAGGGATCATAGCCCCATAGAGAGTTGGCACGCACAGATTGCGCTCAGCTACTTGCTGGGGAATCTTGCTACTCCATATATCCTCTAACCCTGTCATTCGGATTATGTCCCCCTTGCTTAAGTCAGTACAAATGTTTCTCAACACATGAAGCGGCATATGGCCTTACCATTTTGAAGTACTTGGGCAGGCCAACGGGTATATCTTTGGAACAGGAGCAATGACTTTCAAAGCCTTTGATACGTTCATATGTCGCGAATATGATCTTGGTGGCGAGGTGTGTCATTGGGAGGATCTCGGAGTCGCCAGGATACCAGTTGGGGCTAATTATGAATGCCACAGCCAAGAAGGGGTGAGTTCCAAAGTTCCTGTCAAGTCTATAGTACAGGCGAGCATCGACGACAAGAATGTCGAGGACGGGGCAGCAATATCCATAGGGCTCCGAATCATTGTCCACCGGTACATTTGATGAACCGAGTCTGAATTTCTTCATGTTGCGACCAGTTACATACCGAGACAGCCGACAGACTTGAAATGCAGTTGGGACAGGAGGGTACTTGAAAACATTAGATCGCCCAGGGACTCGTGGTAATGTCTTTGGGTAATAGATAAGAGGGCCAGGAAGTGTATACTGCCATATCATGGCTTGAAGCTCGTTGGGGAGGCGGGCGAAGTGGTGGAAGGATTGGTGTAGGCTGCGGTTTTGGCCACGCGTTTGGGGAGCCATGTTGGTTCGCGCAACCAGAGATTGCTGGCAATAATGACTAAGAGCGAGCAAGAGGTTGGAAGAGAGATGCTAGTGCAGCAGAAAGTAAAGATATCATCGGAACCCAAGGGTATCAAGCTATTGTGAATCAATGTTATGTTGATTGAAGAGTACTGTGCCACAGCCGCAACAGCGAACAGCAGCAACCTGCGAATATTACCACCTCCCAGCCTCGTCATGACAGTCGCAGTATATCAGCTGCAGGGGGGGTTGGAAGTTGACAGAACCCGGACCAAGGCGCACGGATGGTATTCCCCTGTTGCATGGGAGGTTAGCGCGATGTGGAACTGTGCCTACCCCTGAATCCTTGTCTCAGCAGCCTGCAGAGGGTAGGACGCGCGATCTCCAGCCGCCAGCTGCAATGGCCTGGGTGGAGCACCATAACAAGCGAGCTCAAGCATGAAAACCTGTGATAGATCCGTCTCTCCACCGTATCCTGTCAAGCGTAAAGAGACAACAACACCAGGGGCAGACAGGGATACGCGAAGGCAAAGTCTTATGCACAAAAGCAAGTAATAGTGGGAGGTACTCTTCAAAGTATACAAAGTACACTACAGCTTGAGAAGAGGAATATCGCGCGGGCCATCAATACCTGGCGGAGCGCGCAGTCCGCATGACGGCATGGTACTGTCATGGTCGCTCTCACGGCCTGGAAATGAAGCATCGACGCACACGGCTTGTCCACTTCACGGCAGGGATCGGCATTGAACGAACTTACTGAAAAGGCTTCATGGGTCCTTCTTGTGTTGCTCCGGCTCGCTTCACAAGCTAGCTGATGGCACTATCAAGCAGGCATGTCTCTATGGCAAAGATCACTGATAAGGAAAAGATGCGATGGCGTTGACGTTTTGACCGAGATCTCTTTTTGAATGGCTAACTAGGTAAGTTGACTTACTATCGTCTTTTCTGGCCTTGGGTACGAGTATGTCTTGCCGTCAACCACCAGGAACCACCAGACACACAATGCAGAACAGGGTAATCTTTTCTTAAAAGTAGTATTAATATTAAACCATTTTACGCGCTTATTATTAAGTGTATAAGAGCTTTAATTTTAAATAATTTTAATGTTAAAAAGTATATTTATATCAAAATATTATTTTTGTCACGGGTCAGGCTCGGGAATACAGGTGAACGGGGAACGCTTCGGGCGGGATAGATTCTATTGCTACGGATAG